GACATTTTTGGTTTTTTGGGGTTTGAAGAAATGTATCTTTGAGCAGCAGCGCTTAAAACGTTTTCTAAGTCATTGAGTGGCGAAGATTTTTTAAAGCAACCTGATGATCGCCTTCAAACAAAATTTTCAGGCTGCGAGTTAGATTTTCTAGCGTTTAACAGACAAATTTGCCAGTTTATTCTGTTTGGGGCTTCGCAGCATTTATCAGTTCAACCGGGCCTTTGATGATTAGTTTCAGACCCATTCATTCATTGGTCAACCCGAGATTTTTGCCAAAATCGCCTGATGATGCCTTCAAGATGAAACTTTCAAGGTTTGAGGACTCGATTCTCAGGAAATTGTCGCACAAATTTGACTATTTTGGCTTTTTTGGGTTTGTAGAAATGTATCTTTGAGCAGCAGCGCTTAAAATGTTTTCTAAGTCATTCAGTGGCGAAGATTTTTTAAGCAACCTGATGATCGCCTTCGAACAAAATTTTCAGGCTGCGAGTTAGATTTTCTAGCGTTTAATAGAAAAATTTGCCAGTTTATGCTGTTTGGGGCATCGCAGCATTTAACAGTTCAACCGGGCCTTTGATGATTAGTTTCAAACCTATTCATTCTTTGGTCAACCCGAGATTTTTGGCAAAATCGCCTGATGATGCCTTCAAGATGAAACTTTCAAGGTTTGTGGACTCGATTATCAGGAAATTACTGCACAAATTTGACTATTTTGGCTTTTTTGGGTTTGTAGAAATGTATCTTTGAGCAGCAGCGCTTAAAATGTTTTTTTTAAGTCATTCAGTGGCGAATACTTTTTTAAGCAAACCTGATGATGGCCTTCAGATGGCAAACCTTCTTGATTTCATAGTCGAGTTTTTGCAACTTCAACACCGAAACGAGACTAGGGAGAACTAGTTTCAAATCTATTCATTCTTTGGTCAACCCGAAATTTTTGGCAAAATCGCCTAATGATGCCTTCAAGATGAAACTTTCAAAGTTTGTGGACTCGATTATCAGGAGATTATCGTAAAAATTTGAAATTTTTGGCTTTTTTGGGCTTGGAGAAATGTAGAAATGTATCTTTGAGCAGCAGCGCTTAAAATGTTTTCTAAGTCATTCAGTGGCGAAGATTTTTTAAGCAACCTGACGATGACCTTTAGGCGAAATGTTCAGGCTGCGCGTTAGATATTCTTGACTTTAACACAAAAATTTCTCAGTTTATGCTGTTTGGAGCTTCGCAGCATTTAACAGTTCAGCCGGGCGTCTGATGATTAGTTTCAATCCTAGTCGTTTTTTGGCAAAATCGCCTGATGATGCCTCCGAGAGGAAACTTTCAAGATTCGTGGACTCGATTATCAGGAGCTTAACCCAAAAATTCGAATATTTTTCGCTTTTTTGAATTTGTAGAAATGTAGCCTTGAGCAATAGCGCTTAAAACGATTTTTTTAAGTCATTCAGTGGCGAATACTTCTTTAAGCAAACCTGATGATGGCCTTCAGATGGCAAACCTTCTTGATTTCATAGTCGAGTTTTTGCAACTTCAACACCGAAACGAGACT